CAAAAAACGACGCCACATGTAACACCTCATCGGGCCATGGCGGCTCCACTGCAGCGCGGCACCGGCTCCGCGCCAGCCCTGCCCGTGCGGGCCCGGGGAGCTCGGCGCTGCAGGCCGGAGGAGGCAGGGCAGCGCTGCCCCGGCTGGGTGATAGCGGAGGGGGGAACAGCCCAGGAGAGGCAGAGAAGGAAAACAACAAAGAGCCATGTGACGGGGAGCGGCGGCCGCGCTCCCCCCGGCGCACCCGCTCCGGGCGGGGAGGTGGCGGCGCCGCCCGGCCCCTCCCGCGGCCACCGCTGCTGGTTCTCCCCGTCCCCTACCACAGCCCGGGCTTTAACATTTTTGTGAATTTTCTTTTTTTCCCGTGTGTGTTGTGAAGGGGGGGTGGTGGTGTTGTTTGTTCCTCTTTTTCCCCCCTCTGCATTAGGCGACTTCCATGGCTTGGTGTTTATAAAGAGAGCGGGAGGCTGCGGCGGGGGAAGGGCGGTGTTATTTATAGCAGTCAGGGCTGCGCCGGCATTATCCGAGCTGCCTTTGTCCTCCCGGCCGACCGCCCCCCCGCCCGGCCCGGCTGGAGCGCCGCCAGCCCCGCTGCCGCAGGGCGCTCCCGCCATGTTGTGCGCGGGGAGAAAGAGCCGCCGCTCCCTGCCCGGCTTCGCCCTTCCACAGCCCCTCACAAAGCGCTGGGGGAAGGGGGGGCGGGAAAGGGGAGAGAAGGGGAAAAAAACCCCAAAAAAACCCAAACCACCCCAAAGCCTCCATTTCCCTGCAGCGCTCCGGACGCGGAGCGCCGGGAGGCAGCGGGGGGAGAGCCTGCCGCGCCACCGCCCAGCACTGAGGAGAACACGACGCCGAAGGGAAGGAGAAGCCATGATGGCGGCTGCCCTCACACAACACGGAGCGCGACCGGGAGCGCCGTGCCCGCCGCCGGCCGCCCCTCCCGCCGCCCGGGACACGGTGCTGCCGCAGCCTTTCACATAATAAACCCACCAGAATTCGGCGGGGAGGCCATTTTCGTGGGCTGGGTGGCGGCACTAAAGCACAACTGCTGTGAATATCAACTGCGTCACGGCTCTCCATCTGTAACACTCAGGCTGCAAAGGGTCCCTCACTTGGAAGGAAACTCCCTCATTTTGGATATACTTCCAGACCTCCTTTTTCCCCCCTCTCTCCAAGTCACTGCCTCTCGGTATGAAGGATTTTACAGTGCTTTCTAGGGAGACATCCGCCATTAAGACTCACCGTCGTGAAAAACACCCCCCCATTTTGTTGCCTGTTTTTTGTCGAGCTTCTGTAATTAGACGGATAAAACATGTAAGGGATCCCTACCACCACCACCGCCTTCTCGCCTTTTTTAACATCAACCTCACTAACATCTTACTGTTCGCAGGCAGATTTTTTTTTTTTTTTTTTTTTTTTGGTGCTTACAATTTAACAGCCACGTAATGCCTGCAATGGATTCACAGCGTCTCTCCGCACAAAAAAAAAACCAAACCCACCCAGGGCTGAGGACGACCAAGAGCTTTGTGCAGAAAGAGAAATCAAATCCCTCCCTGAAAAGAGACGTTTCAGAGGCACTGTTAGATGTTTCTGAGGAAAAGGAGATCGCCACCGCTTTCAGACGACCATTGGGATCCTTCCACCCAGGACAATACCATTAGCTACAGGCCTGGGCTATTTGTTCCTCTGCAAGGGCAAAAGGGTTTACTTACCCGCACACCATAGTTGAATGCAGCTCTGAAGGTGAAGTTGTTACTTTTTTAAAATAATGGCTATAAATATATATATGATCTGTATCACCACTTCTCTCGTAAGTTTGCGAGCCAAAGCGGATCTTGTTAAGATAAGTTATGGATCTTTGTATGGCAGTGGTCTAGCATCAAAAAAAGAGGAAAAAAAAAGGGGGAAAATATATATATATATATAAAAGTCCAGCTATGTTGACTGACCGTACACAGGCGAGGACTCCTGCTCGAGTAAATCTACCTTCCTGTGGCAGATTTACTCTGTACATAAAAAGGACGTTCAGTGTTTTTCCACAGAGCACGCAGACACTAAAAATATTCTCCTCAATAGTTTTAGGCTGCACATGTCAATGTGAAAACACCTAATTAACATTACTGGTTCTAAACAACTTTTAAGCATATCTTAGCCAGATAGTTTGCTTTTTAAGTAAAATATTTTAAAAAAGCATAAATTGGTTTAAACAGACAAAAACGTAAGACATGCAAATGAAGGCTTAGCAATAAGGACCACTTCAGTAACATTAACATGAAAACTACACTTAGCAAGGACAGAATGGATTGGGTACTTACAATATAAGAGGAAAGAAAGAGAAAAAGCTTATCATAGTAAAATTGCCTTATTTTTTGCCAGAATTCACTATTCCTATACCTACATTTAAAACATTACCTTTTAAGCACCAAAGGAGTTAATAAAAATGGCCAGGAATCAAGTGTTTAATATAGGAGAGAAGTCTCTCAAATTTATTGTTCAGTCATCAGAGCTGCTTAAAGCTAAAAAACCCCCAAAACAACGAAAAAAGTATAAAAAGAATGTATTTACTCTTTTTTTGTTGGCATTCGAAATTGTTAACTGCTGACATAGGGTGTGCCATGACCTAGTTACACAAGACAAAGATGGATCCCGAATCATAAGGGAGAAAAAAAAAAAAATCCGCATTACTTTTTTTTTTTTTGGTTAAGGGTTTGAGATATATATATATTTAAATCCTCCTTCTTCAGTGAGTCGTCTGGCACCGTGCTAGAGGCTCCCACCACCCCGCGTGGTGTGGATTCACATGGCGGATCCCCCTTTATGGAACAAAGGAAAAGCCCAGTTGGCCATTTCGCTCCACTGCAGAAAAATGGCTGCGGGTCCCGCGGCCTCTCCTTGGCTTCTGCCGCGCGGTGCTTTTACCCCACCGTCTAATAACTCAGGCCCCATGGAAGCCGCGCTCCCATTGGCTGCGCCCGCCGCGCTGCCGCCACCCCAGCCAATGGCGCGGCCGCTCCCGGGGCCGCCGCGGCCCCGCGCCCCGGGACGGCCGCACCATGCGCCCGCCGCGCTCCGCCCGGCCCCGCGCCCGCCGAGCGCCGGGGGCACCGCGCCGCCCGCCTTTAATACCGAAAACAAAATGGAACCTCCCCGCTGATTGGCTGACGAAGGCTCCGGACCTTTAATAAGCAAAGCTGCTCCCCCATCCTCCATCACCCCCTCCTCTGCGTGTATCACCACCCCCCCCCTTAGCTTCCCCCCCCGCACTCTCCGCCGCAGCAGCGCGGCGGGTCTGCGCTCCACCCGCCCCCGCGGTCGCCCGGGCTCGCCGAAGTCTTCCCCTAAAAAAAGATTAAGAGAGAAAAAAAAAAAAGCCGAAAAAAAACCCCACCAAAAAACCAAACTTGTCCCACCTATAGGTCCATCTTGTTTAGAAACAGTTTGCGCTAAGGTAAATGCAGCGGGCAGATTCCACTCGCCCCCCCGCATGCCGTTAACCCCGCGGCGGGGAGGGAAAAAAAACCCGCGCGTCCCGGCGGCGGCCCATGCGGCGGCGCTCGGCGGCGGCGGGGCGGCGGCGGGCGGCCGCGGGCCGGGGGCTGCGCGGCGCGGCCGCCGTGAATGTGCAGGCGGCGGAGCGCGGTTAGGCGTTCGCGGCGCTCGCAGCGGTGTATTGTGGGATCCCGGCCGCCGCCAGCAGCGAGCACACACAATATGTGGTGGCTCGCGAAAACGGGAGGCAGGAGCCTGGCGGGCAGCCCGCGCCGGTAACCGGCCCCATGTGAGACGGGAGCTCGCCTTTCGCTGCCCGGAGACGATCGGCCGCCCAGCGCGATGTCTTTCCGAGAGACCAAGGCGGGGGAAAAAGCCAAGCACCCTGAAGATCATGGCAAAAAGCAGAGTTCAAGTGAGATTTGGTCTTTTTTTTTTTTTTTTTTCTTTTCCTTTTTTTTTTTTTTTTTTTTTTCCTCTCTCCTCCTCCCTTTCTGCCTCTTGTCTGGTTGGGGTGGAGGGGGGGACCCGGTTGGCAATTCCCCCATTTTGGGGCTCGCTTCGCGGTGGATTTCCTCCCTGCCTGGGTGTGTAGAGCGGGCGGCTCGTTAAAAAAAAAAATAAAAAAACACACCGAAACGAAGAGGTCTTTGTTGAATTTTTTTTTTAACTTTATGGTTTTTCGTGTGTTTTTTTCTTTTCCCCTTCCCTCTTTCTC